GAGGTCAGTGGGAGTTAGCCAAAATGAACTAGAGATGTTGCACATTGCCCCATCTGTACTACTGTGAGTTGCTGTGCTGCTGCACACTTTGAGTAATTCTTACCCCAGGAGTAGCAGGATTACCCATAGTGTAACAGCTTGAAATTTAACTGAGAACAAAGAGATGCTTTTGGGAATTTCAGCCAAACAAAAACAACAAACCCTAAATCATGGAAATTATGCAGGCTTTTCTTTATTAGAAACAAATGTTGATTTTTTTTCTGTCTACACCCTAATTAAAGTCATCCTTTGCTATTATAGTGTGACCAAATTAATATATTTCAGTCTGCTTTTCAACTATTACAGCTGCATTCAAACTGTTTCCTTGAGATCAGCTAAAAAATATATAGCTCTTTAAGAATGGCTTATAGAAGAAAGATTTGTGATAAACTCTAGGATTGCCTAATTATTTAATTAAAAATGTATCTATGAAACATTTTGTAATGTGGATACTTAGCTGATATGCATCAAAAGCAACAGTTTAGGGTGTATATGTAAACTTGGTAAAATATGAAGCCTATCAATGAGTTTTTCTATAGAACTTTGAGTGATTCTCAGAAGTTATCACAATAGTGCCTGAAAATAATCCTTGAGTGTTCCCCAGAACATAAAGCTAGTTTAAGAAGCAATGTAAATTTTTTTAACCTTTCTATTAATCTTAGCTCTTGTATAGTCATCTCTCACTGTGTATTCAGCCAGGTGTATCTCTGCATTTTATCTATGCCAAGAAGTGAATAGTAAGATAAAACAGAAATGCTAAAAGTCTGTGTCGTGTATGTGCATAAATGTGTCTGTGTGAGTTCACGCATATAAAATTACCTGCAGGTAATGCAGGCACAGGAGTCAAAGGAGCTTCTCACACAAAATGAGAGTTCAAAATAACTGGTTTCATAATGAATGTTCAAGGCTTACAGTGTATGTTTATAGTGTGTGCTTGTGTAGACTGTTTTTATTTTCTAAATAGGCAGTTTTTAAATTGGGATATTTTAAAGCTGAATTGAAAGCCTGAAGTTTGTAAAGGCTAAAGGCCTTCAGAAAATGAAGACCCACCTTCAGAATCCTCCCGAGTTAAGCTTCTAAAAACTGGAGTGATCTTTGTATCCACCTGCTGTTGTAGCCTGTTTGTTTCATCTAAGATAAGCATCTTGACACCCATTACTTGTTCTGCTTGACCCAGAAGTTTAAGACATGTACCCTAACAGATTGTGACACGCGCATCTCTTCGTAACATAAAGTCAGCAAAAATGAGGGGGCAGGTTCAGGGTGATTAACTATGACATTGCATTACAGATCTAATGTATGTGTATATGTGGACCTGAATCTATACAAATAATAGAGTTTAGTGTGTGTTTAGAGTTAGAAAAAGATTTTCGCCATCTGTGATTGTGTGAGAGAGATCCACACAGTAAAAAAAAAAAAAGTAAAATTAAAACCAAAAGACTAAAAGCAAGGCTGCATGGACAAAGAAGGAACATCAGTGTATGCTGTACGGGTTGGGCTTACTTGTCTACTGCCTGGCTTAGAGCTGTAAGCATGCAGTACTATCTCTGTACTCACGAACTTCCTTGCACACATTGTCACAGGAGGCTTGGCCTAATCAGTTGTGAGCTGAAAAAAGTAATATAAATTGGAACCTTTTGTCATGAAGTATTTAATTGTTGATATGATTTAATGGCTTTGGGGAGAAAATTTAGCATGAGAGATTGTAAGAAACAAGAAATCGTTTACATGTAAGAAAGGACTTGAACCTCTAATCAAATATTACCATATACAGAAAGATCCCTAGCTAGTTATAGCTAAATTCAAATGGGATAATGGTTAGATTTTTTGTTAATTTTAAGTTTTATCAAAAAATGACATTCCTATTCATTCTTTATCTAGTTTTGCATAATACATGCTTACAATGATTTATGGAAAGCTTTCACTGTGTAAATATTGAAGCATGTGCTACGCAGTATCCACAAGCAGTGAAGTTTTTATGGAATATAGGCATCTGTGCAATTTCTCTTTACTTTTGTTGGGCAAAAAGAGCCAAACAACTTCTTGCTGAAAATTAACAAGATAAAGCTTGATATAACTAGTAGGGGTAGGCAAGCATTATTTAAGAGCAACTTTCTGATTCCCTGCTCTTTCTATGGCAGCAAGGGTAACCCCATGACAATAACACCCTTGACTGCCAGTTTCTCTGATAAGTGGGGCTTAGCTGCTGCCAAAGGTCTGGCGTTCCTCATTGCAAATCCTTAAAAGAAATGAAACAAAGAGTGGTGGCGTCTCATGAAGAGGAAGCTCATGAAGCTAAACACCAGCTTCTCTCGGTTAAGGTGTGGAATAACTCCCTGAAAGCATACAGGGAACCCCCAGATTTGGATGCCTGACTGCCTGTTCTGTGCATGCATTGCTGTGCTGCCAACAGATGAGGGACTGTGTGAAACCACCTTCCACTTAACGTGTGGGTGTCTGTTACAGGATCTGTACCTACTACTCTCCTGAGCTATTGTCGTGCTAGATACATTTAATTTTTATTTACTTACATATCCATTTTTGTAAAGTATCCATCTGTTACATAAGCCTGTGAGTGATTTACAAATTAAAGCAAAACCAAAACAAATTACAGTAGTACATTGCAAAGCAGCCTGCAACTGGCTGCAGACAGGAATCCTAATTCAATACATGTAAGCAGCGTAAATTAGACAACGTTATTTCCGTCCTCAAACAATGGGAGTTACAGTTAGAAGGAATTAATACTTATGTTTTAGGATGAGAAATATGTACATATAGATTGGGTCAGACCTGACAGCAAAGGCCTGGAGACCAAAGTCTGAACCAAGTCTGGTTTTACAGTTCCAAGTAGGAATTACCCATATATACAAGTGCTGTGGCTGGCTGAAAGTTTTGGGAAAAGTAGGTATAAGAAGCTTTACATCACACTTTTAGGGAAAGTAGTAACAGTTAGTTGGATGGGAAAAAACAAATATAATCTTATAGTTTTAAAATAGGAACCTGCCCTTTAATTATTTCTTTGTGGTGTTGATATTTTTTTTCTCCCACCCCCTGTCCCATTTAAGTTTTGTTTCACTAATTTTGTTCTTGGGAGGGATTTTTTGGTGTTCTAGGTGATTTCTATTTGATAGTACTGACTGCCTGTAAAATACTGCTCCATCAAGACAGATAGAACTGTAAGGGCATAGAAATTAGAGATGTCCACAGTGCTTAAGCATGTTCAAAGGTGGGGACAAATGAGAACCGGCATCTGCATCATGATGTTTCGTTCATCACTGTGTAAATACAGACTGAATATTTTCTACACAGAGATGGTTTCTGGGGCTTTCCATCTGGGGTCAGCTGGGTAAGATTTTCCATAATTAACTGCTGTTGAGGGTTTCATTGTCTTTCAAGGTTTGATTTTAAATGCTCATGTGTGGAGCATTTCTGAAGATTTTGTAGTTGTATCCAAGGTACTGAAACACACATGGCATTAACCTTCAACATTAACTTTGTATCCTGAGAGTTGAACTGCACTGAACATATCAGAACTGAAATAATAAAACCAGCCGTAATCAATTAAACATGTGCTTTACTATTTGGTGCAAAATTGTGTCTTCCAGTACTCTAGGAAATAAGAGGGAAGAGAAGAATCAATCCTCTGAAGACTGAAAAAGGATTAATAAATAAATAAATAAGTAAAACTGGGGGGTGGGAGTGCTGGAGGGAAAGAAAGGTGTTCTCAATCTTCATAATCAAAAAAGAGCTAGTGGGTTTTGCAATAGTGTATATTCCAAAATGTTCAGATAAGGTTCTGAAGCTGAGATTCAAGATTTAAAAATATCAGAGACGGTATGGTGGAGTATCTTGCAAAGCTGTTTAAGGCATGAGGAAGCATTGAAAGCTGGTTTGATGGCCTGCAACAGTTCTTTTTGGTTATAGTTACTGTGCTAATATTATGTCCAGCATTTGACCAAAAGGAAAGATGCCAATAAAATGATGTATTCATTATGTAAGTATTTTAATATGTTTTTATCAATATATGCTGGAATGGATTACCTGACATTACATTGCAGAATTTTTAAGTCCTACCTTCAGGCAAATCTCATGCTTACTAGCAAAAATGAAAGTGTGAAATGCTTTTTAATGTATATTTAACAACAGATATTCTAGTGATTACTGATGTGTATTCTCTCTGGATTTTTCCCTTGTTATCAGAAGGCAGTGCTAGGAGACAACATTTTTACACATTTATGCTATCTACATTAATCAGATCCTTACTTTTTACATATTTTTAACTGTTATTTTATGTCAAGACTACAAAAAAAGTCATCTCCTGAGTCTAAACCATACCAAAATTGCAAGCTTACAATCAAGTGCCAGTAAGAGTCCAGGGAAAAAGGGAGTAAGGTACAAGTATTACGTGCTATTTTTAAGACATTTTGCCTTCCATCAAAGTTTCTCATGAAAGGGCCCATGAGTGACTTTAGTCTTACATCTGCTTATATTTAAGAAGTAAATCTATCAAATGCATTTATTTAGCTCTTTCTCATAGTATTACCATTTGATAGTGATTAAGGTACAATTTTCAGTGTTTTACAAAGGCGTGTACAGCAACAGTTCATATGTTTTACACTGATGTATTGTAAACAGTAACATTCTACATAGATCACTGTTGTTAAATTGAAAGTATTGAAAGCATTTTAGATCACAGAGCCCTGTGGTCTACTTTTTGTGTACTCTGACATTATTAAACTCAATCTGGTTTTCTGCTGTGACTGTAATTACAGTATTTGCATGGCTGGGAAGTTTGTATTTTTTTTATCAAATTCTATTAACACTGTATGCGTGTTGTTTTTTGAGCTGAGTGTTTTCATGTTCAGGCAGCAAAGCACCTTCTATTGAACTGAATAATTATGCAGAATCAATAATTTTTTTCTTTGTGTTTGTCTTTGTTGTTTCTTTGATATGGCCTCTAGGATGCTGCAGGCAAGGTACTGGACCGCTGGGCCATCATGTCCAGGGAAGAAGAGATCATTACCCTTCAGCAGTTCCTGAGATTTGGAGAAACGAAATCTATTGTGGAGCTGATGGCAATTCAAGAAAAAGAAGGGCAGGCTGTGGCTGTGCCATCTTCAAAGACAGATTCAGATATAAGGACTTTTATTGAAAGCAATAATCGCACCAGGAGCCCAAGTCTCCTTGCTCACCTGGAGAATAGCAACCCTTCCAGCATTCATCATTTTGAAAACATCCCGAATAGCCTTGCATTCCTGCTTCCATTCCAGTACATAAATCCAGTCTCTGCTCCACTGCTGGGACTGCCTCCAAATGGCCTCCTACTGGAACAGCCAGCAATGAGGCTCCGTGAACCAAGCCTTACAACCCAAAATGAATATAACGAGAGCAGTGAATCTGAAGTTTCCCCTACGCCTTTCAAGAATGAGCAAACATCCAGCAGGAATGCTTTGACCAGCATCACAAATGTTGAGCCCAAAACTGAGCCAGCCTGCGTCTCTCCTGTTCAGACACCTACACCAGTCAATGATTTATCAAAACCAGAACACACTAAAAGCTCATTCCGAATTCACAGAATGAGGAGAATGGGGTCAGCCTCGAGGAAAGGAAGAGTGTTTTGCAATGCATGTGGCAAAACTTTCTATGACAAAGGTACACTTAAAATCCACTACAATGCTGTACACCTGAAAATCAAGCACCGGTGCACTATTGAGGGCTGCAACATGGTTTTCAGCTCTCTCAGAAGCCGCAATCGCCACAGTGCTAACCCCAATCCTCGACTCCACATGCCTATGCTAAGGAATAACCGCGACAAAGATCTAATTCGTGCTACATCGGGTGCCGCCACTCCCGTCATAGCAAGTACAAAATCCAACCTAACTTTAACAAGTCCTGGACGCCCACCGATGGGGTTTACCACTCCCCCTCTAGACCCTGTACTGCAGAACCCTCTTCCTAGTCAGCTGGTCTTCCCGGCTTTAAAGACTGTCCAACCTGTTCCACCTTTTTACAGAAATTTACTTACTTCTGGAGAGATGGTGAGTCCTCCAACCTCACTCCCTACCAGTCCAATAATACCAGCAGTGAGTGGCATGGAGCATCCCCCTCCTCCTTCGGAGTCATCAGTACCTTCAGTGTTGATGCCCACCCCAGAGCCCAATGCAGACCTTGCTCCCAAGAAGAAGCCAAGGAAGTCGAGCATGCCAGTTAAAATTGAAAAGGAAGTTATCGATACTGCTGATGAGTTTGATGATGATGACGAAGAGGTGAATGACAGCAGCACGATGGTGAATGACATTGGTCATGACAATCACTGCCATTCTCAGGAGGAAATGAGCCCAGGCCTGTCTGTGAAAGACTTTTCCAAAAATGACAGAAGCAGGTGCATTTCCAGACCAGACATAAGAAGGGCAGACAGCATGACATCAGAAGACCAGGAGCATGAGAGAGACTACGAAAATGAGTCAGAGTCATCAGAGCCCAAATTGTGTGAGGAAACCATGGAAGGCGATGATCGCCTCCATGAACCTGGTGAAAAATCAACGATGCACAGTAACAGACCAGATGAAAACCACAATGACTCTTCCAACCAGGATATCATTAAGGTGAAGGAAGAGTACACAGACCCTACATATGATATGTTCTATATGAGCCAATATGGTCTGTACAACGGAGGCAGTGCCAGTATGGCTGCTCTTCATGAAAGTTTCACTTCTACATTCAACTACAGCAGCCCCCAGAAGTTCTCCCCAGAAGCTGAAATGTGTTCCAGCCCAGACCCCAAGATCTGCTATGTTTGCAAGAAAAGTTTCAAGAGTTCCTACAGTGTGAAGCTTCACTACCGAAATGTTCATTTAAAAGAGATGCATGTCTGCACAGTGGCTGGCTGTAATGCTGCATTCCCATCACGGAGAAGCAGAGACAGGTCAGTAAATATTAATTGATTTTCTACATTATTAAATGTGTTGAATTATGTAAAAATAGGCGGTTTAGGATATATGAAGAAACAGAGAGATGCAGAGTAATGCCAAGTGACAATTGTGTTCCCATGACATTGAGACAGATTTATCACTTTAAAGATATTAATTGTTGCTTGGCATTCAGAGTGGTATATATTGTGCCATCCTCTTAAACAACTGGCTAGATAATAAATGTCATTATAATTTCTGTGTGCCTGTGTACATGTGTATTGCACATCTGTTTATAAGGTACAACCTTCATTACATTTATTTTCTTCTCCCTGCAACTTTAAAACAAGAAAACCTTCTATTAAATAGATAGTTCATTGTATACAAAACAAATATCTCCATGCATGCACATCAAACAGTAAACTAGGAAGGAGGGGAAGGAGTGGATGGATGGTTGGATAAATGGATGGAGAGACAGAACAGAAGGACTGGAATAAAAGAATGATTTCCATCTCCATAGGGTCATATAAAAGTAAACAAGAAGCATTAGAAAGCTATTCTTTATTATCTTCAATTTTTAAAACTGGACACTGTGTTGTAGTGAGAATGAGTAAATATTAAGAAAATCATTGTCTTTTTCTTTAGTAGAACTTATGTCTCTATCCACTATAGTAATTTAATCTACTTTATCTTCTTTTCTGCATGTGAGCAACTCCCTTTCCCGCTAATGGGAATTATGCACGTTCAGAGAGGAGAGGCTAGACCCCTACATATTTTTAATATCAACCAGGGTATATTCTGCTGACACTTCAAATGACATCATGCCCTAGCTATGCTGCATCAATACTGAAACAGTTGGGCTTAAACAGAAGCAGCTGGTCCATAAACTCTTTGTTTTGGGGTGTTCTGTTTTTTTGGGGTTTTGTTTTGTTTTGTTTTATTTTGTGGGTTTTTTCATTTTGTTTTGTTTTGTTTTAAATAGATTGTTTTTATTGATTCCTGAGGAAAGTGTAATATAAATAGAATTTGTCAGGGTGATAGGATAACAGTTATTTCATACTTGTAGATAAAAGCTCTCACATCTGATGATGATCATATTGTCACATAACAAAATCTTTCTGGTTCATGGAGTGATGGTGAGATTGGCTCACCTTTCTTCCTTTACTTGTGTTTCATATTTTTTCATTAGGCTGTAAAATTTCAGCAGACACAGGAAGGAAATTAAACCTCACTAAACGTTTCACACGCAGCTTCTCACTTTTTTACTTTTTTCTTTGAAACTGATGTGATTTGAAAGTGAATATATTGTATCTTATAAAATGAAAGCAAGTTAGTGTTAAGGGTATCAAGGAACCAAAATTCACTGTTTTGATGGAGAGTCTAGTCCCCAAATATGTCATGTCTTTTCTCATCATTTATGAAATCCACTAAACAGAAAAATAGGAACAAACATAAGAATACAAGTTCAGAACATCTAAGAAGGATGATCTAGGAAGTTTGCATTTGAATAGGATGAAACTACTGGACAAAAAGCAGGTAAATCTAAATTAAGACTAATTTTCTTGAGGTGTGCGGATAACATTTATGAGACTTGAATTTGACAAGGGAAACGTGAATCAGAGGCATGCTGAGTTTAGATGTGTGTAACCCTTTTCAGTTCCTGAAATTGCACAGCCTTTGTTAGTCAAGAATTTGGCTTGGTCGGTCTGTTTCCTCAAATGAATTATGAAGTCAGTCATGTACTACACAAAACAGCTTTGCGTCGAGCATGTGAAGTAAGAAGTAATTAGCTTTAGTATTTTGAACTTTATGTAGTGTATTAAATTTCAGCAGTAATATATTGATAGATCATGGTAATAATAAAATTTTAGCATAGTAAAGACTAAGATGTTCTAAGAAAAAGTGACTGTGATGACATACATAAAATATGTCTGAGATAAGAACCTGGAAATAGGACACATTTTGAAAATATTTTGTCAACTATGTAGGATACTCCTGTTAAGCTTACTGAAAGCAAGCCATGAAATAAAAATCTGATTCAGTAACTTAAAATGTAGGCTGCATATTTAAAGATTTTTTTTTTTTACTTGCAAACTGTTTTATTACCCTGAAAATTTTTCTATTCAATTTGTTTGATCTTCCTTTTGAAAAATATTTTTTTTTTAAAGACAGTATATACGATTTCTAGCTCTTCAGATTATGGTCAGCACTTCAAAGATAAATGGATAACTAAATTAATAGCATTGCAAAGTGAGAACTTCTTCCAGCTGCTTAGATCAATTTCACTTAAAAACTTGGGAGCATTTTGCTTTTAATTGGTGTATGAGAAGTAAGACTTAGCTACACAGCATACAGTAATAATTCCTGGCTAATATTTGAAATGGACTTGTGTTCCATTTTGGACACATTACAAAAAGTCTCTGTGATTTGTTTGTGTGTAAGTCACTCACATAATCTTTGAGTAGTTAGAGTAGCTTAGAATTTTGTGCTTTATGAAAGAAGAATAAAATTTTTTTCAATACTCTGAAAGCGGAGTTCTAGCTATCCCATAGCTTGCAGTCTTATGAAGTTATTATCTTTATTTTTAGTCACTTTATTAATTGTATTACTAGTATTGTGTTAGTGATATTATTAATCCTATTATAACTAGTTATAGGTCTATAACTAGTTAGAAGTCTAAAACTCACAACGCTAGCTATGTTCTATAAGACAATACAAGCTTAAGTGGAGATAGATAACGTTGGCTGATCTTTTTCATTTTCCTTAGAGGCATCTGATTTGGCTCAAGTCCTTTTCCAATGTAACTCTAGTTAATCAAAGGTTTGACTGTATTCTCCCTGCCCTGTACATACACAAAACTCCTAATTGTTGACAGTGAGTGGCGCTACTGTAAAATGGTCTTTGCAGGGGTAGGGTTATGATACAGACTGCTGGTTACCAGAGGCAGCAGATTATGTCAGGAGAAAATGCAGTGCTGTTTTGACTGAAGGAGGGGTTTTATCTGTGTCAGAGCTGCAACCCTCCCTTTGTAGAAAGCATCCTGTAGCAATTTATACTAAGGTTGACCAAATCTAGCTTTAACATTCCTACATCATCTGTGCCAAGGTCAACACCTGCATAAAAATCCTTCTGCAAGAAATGTTAGAATGTCTTCTGAGATCTTCAGCTAACCACTGCTAGTCCTTGTAACTTTGGGGTCAAGATAACCGGAAGATTCTGGAGTCCCACCCCTCGTATTTTTTTCAATTCAGGGCAGAGGAAAGCAGAGTCCTGGTCCTTGCTGTCAATGCCTCAGTAATTCTGTCACCCATTTTAAAAATTAGACATTATTGCTTTCAAGTAGTCAAGCTCTGCTGAGCCTAGATTTTTTTAACAGGGCATTTTTCATCATTCTTCTGAGCCACAAATAACATCACTAATTAAAATAACTTTATACATACCTAGACCTTGGGTCTTTTTCTCAGATTGAGAAGTCTTTTTGTCTTTCTTTTCCTGGAAGCACTAAACTTTAGTAAACAACATTTTCTTCCATTCTTCAACAGCCACTCAGTGAATTAGCTGTTCATCCATTTCTGTTTCTGTATTTACTTCAGATCTCCTTTCTTCTAAAGGCATACTGTTCAGGTCTTGTTGCAAGAATGCAATGGGAAGTAAATAAGAAAAGAGACCATGTTAAAAATTTAGTCAGAAACAATGTCGTAAACCTCCTTTGGAACAGAGAGACATCTTTTTCAAGTAACTTATTAGATGGAAAAGAGTAAGATGAGAAGAAGTCCCTGCACAAACTGTGCACTCGAATGGAAAGATCTGTCCTTGTGGTGTGAGTTCTCTCTGGACTTGGAAGAGATGTGTCCTGTGATTGAGGAGAATCGGCCTGTAGCTGCAGCGGTTAGATTCCCCTAGGATCTGCTTCCCAGCCTCATCTGTGAGTCCTGCTCCAGCAGATACTGAGTTGGTCTTACAAAAAGGTAGATGTGGTTGGTCCTTGAAGTCAGCACTGAGGTACAGATGATCCTGAGCTGGGGATGACAGGAGGGACTAGATATTTGCTGACCAAAGAGGACACCAATGCAGAGGTGAAAGTCTGGAAGGTGCAACTTAGAGCAGTTGGCTTCATTTTGGTCTCTCACCTGGAAGAGGCAAGAATTTTGCAGTCACAACCACTGATGAAACAGGAGGCAGGTGGACGTTTTGCTTTCAGTAAGTCTTGTCAAGAAACTGCTGTAAGATTTTAAGGAGAAATACAGCCGTCTTTTCAGTCAGCCTTAGTACATGCTAAATCCCTATTTCACCTCAGTACTGACACTGTTAGAATCTGTGGTTTTTAAGCTAGGGCACAGCATTAGTAACAATATGTTACCATGTTTTTCTTTCTCTCAATGTATGGAAAATAAATTAACTCTCAGTATACCTGTTCAAAGGAACAAAGCAAGAACTTTTTGTTTTGTCTGTCTGCTACTTAAGTGGGAGTATTAATTGTGCAGGTTTGTCTTTTAAGTTTTCTGACAAAGTGAGCATGCATGCATATACGTGTGTGCATGTGTATGTGTTCCACAAGATAAGAAAGGTAATTGAGCCCCACAAATAAATTTAAAAACAAAATAATATCTGCTCAGGGTGATTTATAAATAAATATGAGGCAACTATTGGTGCCAGGTGTGACCATGCCACTGATTGCAAGTTAAATCAGTCCAGATTTAAAAACATGAACTCCTTAATTTATATAGAGCAAGACATCTGTAGGTGGTTTATTAAAACCTGCTGATGTCTCCAGAACTAAATTTGTGCAAATATAAACCTCTGGGTAGCTGTGTTGAAAAACCAGAAACAAACTTTTTGTCTGATTACCTGATTTCCAGCCCTGTACAGGTGTGCTTGAATAAATTAACATCAGTTACCTATGATTAGTCACTGCATACATTATCAATGGAGGTGAAGAAGTGAGAAAGCTGCTACCTGCCTCTTGTTATCACCTCCTTGACACAACAGTACCCATTTTTTCATCATCCTACTGTAC